GCAGGAACAGGAGAAGCAGATGACAGCGATGGTATCCTGAGGCAGGTCCGCTGGCAGGTTCTCCCCACTTCTGGATGGAACAGGTAGTCCAATCAATGTTGGGGTTGTGCCTGCGAAGCCAGGGATACCCCAGGATGACAGGCTGGCTTGGTGTAGACAGGAGCAGGAACTGGATGGTCTCACTGTGGCCCCCCGGCAGGGCATGCGCGGGGTTGGTTTGTGATGTAACCCTCCCAGCACATGTCCATCCAGGGCGCTGGCTGAGATGGGCAATGACAGTTTCTCTGGGCGGAGACCAAGCCGGAGAGCGAGGGCCTGGTCCATAATGCTCTCGTCAGCCCCTGAATCGACGGGACGGCGATGGAGTGGGAGCCAGAAGGCAGCAGGAACTCACCAGTGAGGCTGGGCCTTTTAGGGGAGGCAGGACCAAGGATGGAGCTCACCAGTATGCCTCCGTTCACTGGTGAGCTCTGGCTTTACTGGACACCGGCTGACAAAGTGTCCTGGCTGGCCGCAGTACATACAAGGTTCAGTCTCTGCCTTTTCCTTCTTCAAGTGAGAGGCGGGTGTGACCCAGCTGCATAGGCTCAGGATCTTCCACATACAGGAGCGGTTGAGGCTAACGAGGAGGAGGCAGGAGTTACGGGAGACTTGGAATGAAGGGAGCTGTGTGGCCGGGAGAGCGTGACTGGAACTCAGAGCGCCCCCCCCTCCCCCGGGCCCGGGGGCGGGGGGGGAGGGGGGGGGGAGGCCCAAAAAAAACCCCCCCGGGGAGGGAGGGCAAAAAAAAAAAAAAAAAAAAAAAATTTCCCCCCCCCCCCCCCCCCCAAAAAAAAAAAAAAGGGAGGGGGGCCGGGCCCCACAAAGGGGGGGGGGGGGGGAAGGGAAAAAAAAAAAAAAAAACAAGACCGGGGCCCCCCCCCAAAAAAAAAAAAAAAAACCCCCCCCCCCCCGCCCCCCGAAAAAAAGGCCCCCACCCCCCCCCAGCCAAAGGGAAAGAAAAAAAAAAAGGGAAGGGCCCCAAAACCCCCCCCAACCCACCCAAAAGGAAACCCACCAACGCAGGGAAAAAGGAAAGAGAAAAAAAAAAAAAAAACCCCCCCCGAAAAGAAAAGAGAAGAGGAAGAGAGAAAAAAAAAAAGAAAAAAAAAAAAAAAAAAAAAAAAAAAAAAAAAAAAAAAAAAAAACCACACCCCAGGAAGGGGAAAGGGAAAAAAACAACGGGAGAAAGGGGGAAACAGAACCCGAAAAAGAAAAAAAAAACCACCAAGGGGTGGGGGGGGGAGTTGAACCTCCCCCCCCCCCCCAAACCCCCCCCCCACCCCCCGAGGAAGCCAAGGAAGGAAAAAAAAAAAATAAAAAAACCCAAACCAAAAAAACAAAAAAAAAGATAAAAATTTAAGGGAAATGAAAAAAAAAAAAAAAAAAAAAAAAAAAAAAAAAAAAAAAAAAAAAAAAAAAAAAAAAAAAAAAAAAAAAAAAAAAAAAAAAAAAAAAAAAAAAAAAAAAAAAAAAAAAAAAAAAAAAAAAAAAAAAAAAAAAAAAAAAAAAAACAAAAAAAAAAAAAGGAGGAAAAGGAAGGGGAAGGGAAGGGGAAGGGAAGAAGGAGGAAAGGAAGGAGAAAAGAAAAGAAAAAAAAAAAAAAAAAAAAAGAAAAAAAAAAAAAAAAAAAAAAAAAAAAAAAAAAAAAAAAAAAAAAGAAAAAAAAAAAAAAAAAAAAAAAAAAAAAAAAAAAAGGGGGAAGGAAGAAAAAAAAAAAAAGAAAAAAAAAGACTGTTATGGCTGTTATGGTTTTGTTGTGGTCGTTACTCTGTTTTTTGTGCAAGACATGTTTGACTTTGAGGATATGAACGGCTGTCTGTTAGAAGGTCAGCATCACTTTTTCCACTCACCCATCCTATCATAACTCAATAACTCAGAGTTAGGATTACAATGGGATGTGATTTTAACAGTACGATAACCGTCTCAGAAAACATCATGAGCTAACAGTATACAGTATTACACAATTCTTACTATTATTATTATAAGTTACAACAAACCTTAACAGAATAATTTCACAAAATATTATGTCTCATATTTACATTATATATATTTAACCCTTAATTTAGATACCACGGTATATCATGGTATCGGTATACCGCTGCAACCCTACTCAGGGTCAGAGGAAGAGTAAGCAAATCCCAGCATGCATTTGTACACATGTAGGGTGATGCACGGGACTAACAAGCTCACATTTACAGTTTCACTGCCTCTGTTTCTCCAGACGTGTGCCTTTCGGTTTTGGCTTTGGGACAACGTGCACATGTTAATGTTTCTTTCTGTGTTTACATGTGCAGGTGTGAGTGTAATTACGTCACCATTAAGGATACTGTAGTGGAAAGTTGCACTCAGAATGAATAAACAGGTCTAATTTTTTCATTGTGCAAACTGAATGCAACATATTAGTTCCTCTGACTGCTTCCACTGTTAGAGCCAGACTGAAGATGACAAAGGTGGTCTATATAAGCACTTCACTTAGGATGCAGGGAATTTCTGTCAACATGTCAAGTTTATGGAAAACAAATGTCACTTAAATTTCACATGCAACAATGACCTATTGCCTGTCCAAGCCTACGAGTGTGGATTATAAACTGCGGTCAATCATAATAATAAATCATTGAGAATTACGTCTCTCTAGAGTCTAATACATCACCTTGTTGTATGATTGGTGGTGACTTCACACCTGTATTAATGACCGCAAGACTTAAAAATGTATATGGCTATAAGCATATAGTTTTCATTTTTCCCTTCATTCTTCTTCAGTCTTCTTACCCAAGTATTATTTCACTGCATAACTATGTAGTTCAATCAAAGCTGAACACAAAGCATAGCAGGTCTGAAAACAGAGCAATAAAACTACACTTTAAGACCAATTATGGGTGCTCAGGTAGCACTGCCCCTCTCTCTCTCTCTCTCTCTCTCTCTCTCTCTCTCTCTCTCTCTCAAACACACACACACAAATGTGCATACACAGCTAGGCAGTGCAAGAACACACTCGTGCAGAAATACAAATATACAATACACTCCTTTTCTAATTGAGTCGTTTTGAGCCGAACTCAGAGCCCAAGCTTTCTACATGATCACATCTCAGAAACATTTTCCACATTCCAGACTGGTGTAACTCACATCAACCTCCGCTGCTGGTTCAGTCAGTCACTTGTGATAAACTATTTATCATTTCACGCAAGGATCTCATGGCTAAGGCTGGACAAGACTGAAAACTGCATTGCAAGTGAAGCTGGGATCACTTTTACTGGCTATTTTTAGCCCAGAATCTCTGTTTGCTTACCCAGGTGCCACAGGGTCATAGGGCTACAGGAAAATAGAGTTTACATTAAGAACAGATTCTCATTTCCTCCTTCCAGAGGCCGGTGAAATCGTCTTATGTCCACTCATCAAGCTTCATTCTGCTGCCAAAGGATGAGCAAAGCATTCTCTGAAACAGGACTCAAGTGGATCTCCCAACCTCAGCCTCTCAGTGTTTAGGTGTCATTACTGTAGCTCATTTACTTCATGTGTTTCCAGGCCTATTACCTCCAGACAAAGAAAATGTTTCAGAATCTTGCCAGACTCAGACATCAGCCCTTAGGAGCTGAGACAGGACCAGCCAGCCCAAACATGGAGAAAAACCCCAGCAATACCACAAGTTGAAATAAAAACACTGATTGTTTCCAGGTATGGCAGCTGGGACACTGCTGGACAAAAGCTGGTGAAGCTTTCTGGATAGAAGTTCTCCCGTCCAGAGGTGACTTACTGTGAAGGTGACATCTCTGATCACATCTTTTAGAGGTCCAGTGTGGAACATTTGGCTGAAATTGAATATAATATTCATAGGTATCTGTTCATTAGCGTATAATCATCTGAAAATAGGAATCATTGTGTTTTTGTTACCTTAGAATGAGCTGTTTTTATCTACAGACACTGCGGGTCGCCTTCCATGGCGTCCACCATGTTGAACCGGCATGTGCTGAAGCCCAGAACGGTCAAACTGAACACGGGCTGTTCGAGTTTTTGCACGTTTCACAGCCATTGTAGTTTTTAGAAAGGGAGGGTGAAGCGAGAGAGTTGCAATCTGCAACCACATAGCTAGACACTAGACTACCACATTGAGGCCCTGAATGAGTCATTAGTAAGAGCCTGGCTCTGCACTGCTGAGAGGATTCTATTTCCTATTCTTTGCCTTATTTTTCTCCCTTCCCTTTCCTGTCTTTGCTTTGCTTTGTTGTACGTCTCAAATGTTTTCGCCTCTTTCATGAGATGCTAAGAGGTCACAACAATTCACTTGTTTCAGGTATTCTTTTGCCTGACCTCTCTATGGTGAAAGAGGTTTACATTTCAGGTTGTGAATGACATAACAAGTTTGCTTTGGCAATGAGCTCTGAAGTGTGGACGCTTGCCAAACTCACCCCAAGCCCTCCCCTCCCTATCCGTTGTACACACACACACACACACACACACACACACACACAAGACAATAGACTACAACTATAATGTTGATGTTTCCATCCATCATCCATATTTAAGAGAACATGTCAGTCTCACAATATTTATATTATCATTACACATTCATTTTTGGCTGCTCACATATGAAACATTTAAAGTAGTCAGTTAGTTTGATAAAGGCTGGGAGATGAGGAGGTTTATAGTAGTTATTTTCAGTGTAAAGTTAATTTTTAAATATTTTTTAATATATACATACTTCTGCCACAGCTCCTTTTTCTTTTTGAGGCGCCTGGAGAGAGGGAAAAGCAGGGACCCCCGTTTTTACAATTCACAGACTTTCTTGCCTCTCATACAATGTTCTCTCTCTCACTCTCTCAGCCCCCCACCCACCCCTCATACTCCCTCTTTTTGGCAGTGGAGAACCAAATAAATGCAGCCCAACAGTCATTGGGGGGTTAGAACAACCCATTTCGTTTAATGAGGTGATCCAGTGTGTTTTCTCTCCCCCCTCTTTCCTTGTCTATCTTTCTCTGTGTGTCTCTTAGCCAATTACACAGTGTCCTGTCTTGCATCCTGTCCCCCTTTTTTTCTGCTCTCACTCATTTTCCCTCCTTCTTTCTTAAGGCCTTGTTGAGCCCTGATAGGCTTGCTGGGGATAAAACCTGGAGCTTGAGAGAGGAGAGGGACATTTGGGAGCGAGATGGCGAGAGGGATGGTGGCCACATACCTACATGGAGTCCTTCTCCTGGCTCTGTGGAAGCCTTCACTGCAAGGAGGTGGGTCCCCTTTACTGTATGTGTGCAGCGCTCTGCAGTGCAGCACCTGTGGATCAGGTGTCACATAAAGTTTATGTAGTAGTGTTGGCAGAAGAGGATGCATGCAGTCAGGTCATCTTTTCTTCAGTGGTAGTTTACATGTATTGCATTTTCTAATGATTGTGATTGTGATTTGAGAGATTTGGTGAGCTGAATGAACTATGATTATGATGATAATGATGATGATGATGGTAACGATGATGAGGTTGTCTGTGATTCTAGTAGAAATTGGCTGCAGCTGATTATTGATGATGATGAGGATGATACAAAATTGCCTACTGCACACTTTTTCCTCAAGAGAGTTGCAAAATCTTCCAAAGAGTTAAACTTGTTTCAGTGAAGAGAAGTGATACTTACAGTATTGTAAGTGGCGATGACTGACATCATCATTAATCGTTCCTGCAATCATGCAGTTTTAATTTCATCTTCAATTCTCTGAGGATGTTTTGATGTACAGACAAAGAATGTGTGATCTCAGAGCCAAAGGTCAAACTCATCTGCAGTCCTGCTTTCAGATTGAGAATCTAACTGTGGAGATGATTAGAGTTTGTGTTGGACAGACTTTACCTTTAAAAAAACAAGGTTTTCAAGAGTACTGCCGACTCCTCTCAGGGTGGAGAGCTTTTTTTTCTTAGTAATAAACAAAACTTGTCTTTGTTGACATTTTTGTTGAATGATTCAAAAACCTTGTTGCCTTAACTTTCCACAATTTTTCCCCCTTAAAGATGTACAGATAGCTACATAGTACTCACTTTTCAGATGTTGGAAAGCACTTCAGTGTGTAAACATGTTAAATAAGAACGGCAATCTTTAGACAAACCACAGTATAATAACACTGCTCGTCTTTCTATGACTTCACAAAACCCAGGTGTATTTTTCATCTCAGCTCTTCTTCCTCTTGAGGCATGAAGTCTGGACAGCAGGGTAGTAGTTAAAGCTTTTAATAGAGTGCAGCACCTTATTAAAAACTTTAATTATAACCGTGTGCCCCAGACCTCATCCCTAAAGATCCTGTCGCATTGTCCTGTCTGTCTAAGCTTTGAGTTGGCTGATGCAAAGAGATTTCCCTCATCCTCTTCCTCGCCTCACCACTGCACACTACAGAGACCTGTCATTGGTTGTTTAGTTTCTGTCTTTTGGTTTTACTAAAGAGGACTGTATTAGAAAGTGTACTTAAGTCTCTATATTTCTGAACAGTCAGCTTGAATCATAAGTAAACTGGAAACCTCTCAGCGCAGAATACTCATGATAACAGTAATGGTCAGACTGGTTATTAAATAGAAGACAATGTGGAGGCCACCAGGATGTATATTGTGAGTTTTGAGTCTTCAAAATATATTTACTTGTTCATTTTAAATGTATTTTAAAGTCAGTGCAAGTGCACCTTCAACAAGATTAGAAGTCTACACCAATGCTTGCAGAAAGAAAATTAAATGCAGGGAGTCACCAAAACAGAGTTCTATGGGGAATATTCATATCTGGCAATTGATCAAACATTACTTATTGAGTAATGAAATATTAATGTCACCGCAGAAAAACTGTGAGCCCAGAACAATCTCTCTCAAATCTTTATTTGAATCATCTGCCAAGCCCAACTGCTTTGAGTGTAAAGTCGCACCTGTCCAATGTTTATTTCAATAAAAATTCCTCACAAAACAACAATTTTTTGGGTGTTTCTAACCTGCAGAATCCAGTGGGCAGAGCTGAATGACTGAACACTTCAGTTATTTACTGCGTGTTGTTGTTAATGTGCTGTACATGGCATAACTGTGAGATCAGTAACTCACATTCTTCAGGAATCCCTACAGACCTCTTCTTTTCACATCTGGACTGTGGGATCTTAAAAAACCTTTCCTTTTATAGTTGTTCACTCTCTGTGTTTCTATTTTTGGCTATTGTGATTTGTGAAACAGAACATAGGTGCAGAAAAGTGTGAGAATTATGACCAAAGAAGCATGCCATTTGGATGAAGGGGTGTTTGTTATCAGCTAGAGACATTCAAACATAGAGCACAGGGTCGCTGTACACAAGCACACACTAAACATATGGACACGCACACACACCTCTTTTCTCTCTGCTTGTGTGGCATCCTATTTGTTAAACGTGATCCTTGTTATTAAATTAAATGGGTTTTATTAAGTGCTGGCAAGGGGGAGAAATTCATGCCTCATTAGCTCTGAATGATGACTCATAAATTCCACAAATTCTGTCATCTGTTAGGAGTCCAAAACAATGAAAACACCTTTCACCATTAAACTGTTGTGTCTATACAGCTGATCCAAACAGGAAAAACTAGTTAGAACCCATTAAAGAAAATCCTACTGGTTCTGTCTATCAGGTGTATATGTACCTGCTGGTGGAGCAGCAGGAGGAGCTGGAGCAGGACCTGGAACAGGATTCGGACCAGGTGGGACTGGAACAGGATTCGGCCCTGGCGGAGCCGGGACCGGATTCGGTCCTGGAGGAGCAGGGACCGGATTCGGTCCTGGAGGAGCAGGGACCGGATTCGGTCCTGGAGGAGCAGGGACCGGATTCGGTCCTGGAGGAGCAGGGACTCAATTCGGTCCTGGAGGAGCAGGGACTCAATTCGGTCCTGGAAGTGCAGGGACTGGATTTCAGCCTGGTGGAGGAGCTGGTGTTGGTCTAGGACCAGGAGCTGGTGGAGGTGAATGACATTTGTGTTTCTTGTTAAATTTTATCGATTATGACTTCAGTTTGAAGTTATGAATATCAGGACTGACATGTTTTTACTAAGAACACAATTATATCAGACACACATCAGCTCTTAGATGCAGTTGTGGTCATTAAAACACATTAACACTTTATAAACCAGGTGTTTAATAAATGTGTGTAGGTGCTGCTGCTTTCACTTTCTGTACCAATATCTGGTTTGTCATAACCTACAAGTGTTTGTACAGTGCTTTCAACTCACCAAAGACTATATTCTTCAGGGGGCTATGGTGGTCAAGGACCAGGAGGAGTCGGCCCTGGAGGAGTCGGACCTGGAGGAGTCGTCCCTGGAGGGTTCAGGCCTGGCACCTTTGGCCCAGGCAGTGGTGGACTTGGAGTCATACCTGGAGGTGTTGGTGCTGGTAAGACAAATATGGGTGGTTTACATCTTAAGTATCTATTTATTCCATCATCTGTGGAACAAAGTTGATTAAAGTGTTATGATTGCTTTCTTCTTTACAGGTGGAAAGCCTCCGAAAACAGGTAAGACTTTATGGCTCATCTTTGGTTAGAGCACCAGTTTTAGATACTTGTTTTATAGAAGTTTTAGTCATTAATTAGGACAAAAAGTGGCTTCTCAGAGACAATAAAACTCGAATGTCATGAATTATACGCATAGAAATGTCCAATCATTTATAATGGGTGTGTAGGAACGAACCTTTCAAACCATCGCGATGACTCTAACCTCTTAAAACAGTATAGTTTTTAAACGATACATACAAGTACATCTGATTTTCCTTATTGTCTAGGAGGTGGCTATGGTGATCGTGGAGGTGTGACTGGAGGGTTTGGAGCAGGACAGGGAGGTGTAGGAGGACTGGGACCGGGCGGAGTAGGGTCAGGTGGTTTTGGACCAGGTGGTGTCGGTACTGGAGGCTATGGAACTGGGCCTGGAGGAGTTGGTCCAGGTGGTTTTGGACCAGGAGGCACTGGTCCTGGTGGCCAAGGCACAGGCATGGATTTAAATTATTACATCTTCCATTTCTTAGAAGGGTTAAATAATAAGTAATTATCACCCTCATTAAGCACTTAAATACTAGAGCACATACTTTTCCTATTGGATAACATTATATTATTAAAATCTAGTAAACTCATTACCTACAAACAGATTGCCTGCCATATTTACTTGCATCATGTGACACAATAAGCGGAAATTCCCCGCTCTGCACACATAGACCAATGGTCAGCCCCTGTACTGTAAATATTGTTCCTCTGGTCAATTCAATGCAGCAGGATAAGGATTGCATACATGTACCATTATTTCATTTCCTCATTACCTCAAGGTTATAAGCTATTGTTGAGGGGCCAACCACCATCTTGCACACACACACACACACATACGCACACACACGCACAAATACAGTGATAAAGGCTAATGCATTAGGCATGGCAGGTCCCTGATAAAGGACGGAAGTCATCACGTCAGTCAGAAAGACTGATTTGCTTTGGAATTTCAGGCCTCTCTGTTTTTCATCCTTCATACATGCGAGTTGCCTCTGCAGGATGAGGAATGTTGGTGATAATATCCAAATGTTTCTTAAGAGGTTAAGCCTCAGTTTTGTGGAACCTTTTGAATTCCACCCATTATGCCGGTGGGTAGAAAATGGGTCAGGGTAAGCACAGGAAACAGACTCACATGTCACACTTTCCAGTTTACCAAAGGTCTGGCCATCGCAAATGTTTTCACCTACCCTACACAATAATGCCCACAAAGTGTGTTTGTCCTGCTCCACCCTGAGGAATAAGATGCAAACCTCCTGGTTCACCTGAACAAGCAATGGGAAGCATGCACTTATAAACACTGGGCTGTAATTTCAAGCAAACATCAATTTAAGCCAAAGTGTAAACTGTTTTAAAACTTCTGACCCAGAAGAAGTTAGTCCGGTGAAGTATCATGTGTATCAGCTCTCTCTCTTAACAGGAAGTGAGAGAATTTAATTTATAGCCTGATGTGGCAACAATTTTTATTTGAAAGAGTCATCTTGGTCTTGCTAGCTTTTCTCAGCCATCTCCCCACACAGGCTTCAGTTTCCTCTCTGCAGCCTTGTAATTGTTAGTGGCCCATCTATAACCAAACCCTATAAGATTTAGTTTTAAAGTCAAACATGCACACTTCAAACAAATGTTCAACACCCTTTCCGGAGAACAAGTTAATCCTTGTGAGGGTTCTCTCGGGCAGCCATCATACACGTATAACATTACAAAAGGGTGGAGTCGCAGAGGGACACATTGAATTCATTAATGTATGATGTAGTGTATTGTAGTCACTTAAGCAAGAATAGGAAGTACTAAGTACAGTTTCTCTTTTATATTGTCATTAGGCCTCGGGGCAGGGGGTTTGGGTGGAGGTGTGCTTGGAGCAGGAGGCCTCGGGACTGGCAGAGGTCAGGGAGCTGGAGGGCTTGGAACTGGACCAGGCTACGTACCTGGAGGTCAGTGGATTTAATTTGTCTGACACCTAGTAAAAGGTTCAAATGCATTTCTTCTCATTATATTAATAAAGTAAGCATTTCCCAACTATGTGAATCCTTGAATAGCATATTTAATTTATTCACTGATTTACCCATACTAGTAAAATCATCAAGCTACTTTCTGTTTCATAAATAAACAGGACTGATTCATGCTTGTGTAACCTCGACACAACAGTGAGGTCCTGCTGCTTCTATATAGGCCTGCCATAGTTTGCCTAAACAATGTGAAGTACTAAAGCACCGAATAAATGAACCTGTCAAACCACAGAGCTGCTCCTCTGAAACAACCTACAATATGGCTTAAAAATATTACATCTTTATATATTGCTTACCTTGAAGAATATATATGTATATTAAACAATCCTCTGTCCTGACCCAGGTGGCTATGGAGGTTATGGAGGATATGGACCTGGTGGAACTGGTCCTAAACCTCCTAAAACAGGTAATTGCTGCTAACCAATTATGAAGTTTTAATCAATGAAATGTGACTGAATTTTGTGTTTTCTTCCGTCTTTCTTAGGTGGAACTGGTTATGGGCCTGGTGGTGCTGGATTTGGACCTGGTGGTGCAGGAGTTGGGCCTGGTGGTGCTGGATTTGGGCCTGGTGGTGCAGGAGTTGGGCCTGGTGGTGCTGGATTTGGACCAGGCGGTGCAGGAGTTGGACCTGGCGGTGCAGGATTTGGACCTGGCGGTGCAGGATTTGGACCTGGCGGTGCAGGAGTTAGGCCTGGTGGTGCAGGATTTGGACCTGGCGGTGCAGGAGTTGGGCCTGGTGGTGCTGGATTTGGGCCAGGTGGTGCAGGAGTTGGGCCAGGTGGTGCAGGGTTTGGGCCTGGTGGTGCAGGAGTTGGGCCCGGTGGAACAGGATTTGGGCCTGGTGGTGCAGGAGTTGGACCCGGTGGAACAGGATTTGGGCCTGGTGGTGCAGGAGTTGGACCTGGAGGAGCAGGAGGAGTCGGTCCTGGTGGAGCTGCCGGAGGTAGATAATATAATTTACATTATATTATACTGTATAAAGGAAAAGCTTAATTCAAGTATTAAACATTAGTTCTTAAGCGTCCTGTAAAGTATTGTTTACTGTTCACAAGTTACATTACATTTATAACTAAGAATTACCAGGTGAATATATATATAATTTTGAATTCTGACTTCATTCTTGTTTCAGTTCCAATACTGCCACAGACTGGTACAACTGGGGGAGGACCTGGAGGAAAGAGTGGTGGTAAAGCATCAAAACAAGTTCCAGGTAAACTCCAAAAGAAGACAACTGCTTTGTTACTAAAGGATTATAACATCAGTTCAGTTCAGCGTTACTGTTTATGATCAACCAACACTGACTTTTTCGAGGCAATGTTCTGAATTTGCGTATGCTGTCACACAGGAGTTGGTGTGCCTGGACTCTATCAAGGTGGATATGTACCAGGCCAAGGTATGTTTTAACACAAGTAACATGTAACAAACATATAGAAAATGTATTAAACAATACAATAATACATCTTTGTGAGGGATTCAGTGTATTTACAGATGGAGTCGTAACAGTTGTGTGATTTATTTTCTTCTCATCTTCCCTGGGAAGGTTTTGGAGGCCGTGGCGTTCTCCCTGGAGTGGCCACAGGATCGGGACTTGGGCCTCAGACTGGTGTGTTTTAAATATGCTCTATGTTCATGAATCTTGGAACATCACATCTGTGCTGTGGCACATAAAAATAAAAACTGTTGCCTCTTTCCTCGCAGGGGCCGGAGTTCTCGGACAGGGTGGTGTTGGACCAGGAGGAGCAGGCAGTAAGTGTCATAAAGTCCTAAGCTGACAAACAATGTTATATTACAAGCATGTTTTTTTAACGCATTACTTGATCTATAACAATAAAAGATTACAATAATAAAAGTTATCCAAGGCTGATATTTAGTATTTCACAAGATGAGCATCTCTGTACTGTATTTCTCACCTTAGATGGTCGTGGACAGCAGTTGCCTGGCGTTTTCCGTGGTTACCCTCTCATATCACCAAAATCAGGTACACAGGAACCAGCAATGCAGTAAACTGTGCAGCCTCCTATAAGCTACATCATATCAATGATAAATGTAAAGGAAGTATAAAAAAAAGAGAAATTAATTTATTCTTTAAATTACAGGGGCGGGCAAATCCAAGAAGAATCCAGCCAAAGCTGCAGCTAAATATGGTAAATGGACTCAAAGTCCCAAAAACACATCAGTCAAGGTGTTCAACATATGATGTTTACATAATAATTCACTGTGTAGAAAGTAACTGGACTTAGCATTATCAAAATATTACTCATTTTTGTAAGCTCATCTGTTTGTTCTCTTGACCAGGTGTACCTGGAGCTGGAGGAGGGACACTTGGTCAAGGAGGCTCTTTGGGCGTTGGGGCTGGAAGACTCCCTGGAGGAGGAACAGGAGCTGGACCTGGATTTGGAGGTGGAGTTGGAACAGGAGGAGGACCTGGAGCTGGAACTGGACCTGGATTTGGAGGTGGAGTTGGAACAGGAGGAGGACCTGGAGCTGGAACTGGATTTGGACCTGGCGCTGGGACTGGAACTGGATTCGGACCTGGAGCTGGAACTGGTTTCGGACCTGGCGCTGGAGCTGGATTTGGAGGTGGAGTTGGAACAGGAGGAGGACCTGGAGCTGGACCTGGTGCTGGAGCTGGAACTGATTCGGACCTGGTGCTGGAGCTGGAACTGGATTCGGACCTGGCGCTGGAACAGGAGGTGGAACTGGATTAGGTAAATGTGGGGTAGTGAGTTCTGGTCTTTTAAGAGAGATCAAGGTGCAGGATACACCAATCAAATTATTTTTTATATATGTAATTTATGATTCCTTGAATATTTTCAACAAATATGTCAACAATGAAACTGATCAATAATCTTTTACATATTAAATATGATTTTAAAGTAAGTTTGCACAACACTTTGTGCTTCATTAACTGTTTATTTGGATATTGTTTTGTGGCGTAGGTTATGGTCCTGGCTCAGCCAAAGCACGCAAATATGGTGAGTGTGGTTTTTGTAAAATAACGTGATGAATATGTAGTGTGTGTATTTAACCCCCTGTTGTTAGTCTATAGCTGAGACTCACTTAAAATGCCTTTAATCTCTCCAGGCCAGCCTGGCGGTGGAGGCACTGGTGTTGCTGGAGGCCTTGGAGGTGGAGGTCCAGGAGGAGGAGTTGGCCGCGGCACAGGAGTGGGACCTGGCTCTGGTGTTGGTTTTGGTCCAGGTGGTGCCGGCACTGGATCAGGCGGCCTTGGTTACGGTCCAGGTGGTGCTGGCACTGGGTCAGGCGGTCTTGGTTACGGTCCAGGTGGTGCTGGCACTGGCCCTGGAGGAGCAGGTTATGGGTCAGGCGGAACTGGGTATGGGCCAGGCGGAACTGGGTATGGGCCAGGCGGAACTGGATATGGGCCAGGTGGAACTGGATATGGGCCAGGTGGAACTGGGTATGGGCCAGGTGGAACTGGGTATGGGCCAGGTGGAACTGGGTATGGGCCAGGTGGAACTGGTACTGGGACAGGAGGAGCAGGAACAGGACCTGGAGGTAATTATGAACAGCAGATTTCTTGTTTTGGGAAATGTAGCCTATAATTCTTCTATATTGCATCAAGACAAAGACAAATTACTATATTTGTGTTTCAGGGTATGATGCCAGTGCCAAAGCTCGTAAATATGGTAAGAATAGTTCTATAATTGAAAAACTGTATGCAACTGTATCACTACTGTAGAACATCCGAACTAATGAAAAATTCTCCTCAGGAATGTTAAGTGGAGCACTTGGAGGTACAGGACCAGGCGGTGCTGGTACTGGCTATGGACCAGGAGGAGTTGGACCGGGCGGTGCTGGTACTGGCTATGGACCAGGAGGAGTTGGACCGGGCGGTGTACTGGCTATGGACCTGCAGGCGTTGGACCAGGTGGTGCTGGTACTGGCTATGGACCTGGCGGTGCTGGTACTGGCTATGGACCTGGAGGCGTTAGACCAGGCGGTGCTGGTACAGGCTATGGACCTGGAGGCGTTGGACCAGGCGGTGCTGGTACAGGCTATGGACCAGGAGGAGTTGGACCCGGCGGTGCTGGTACAGGCTATGGACCTGGAGGAGTTGGACCAGGCGGTGCTGGTACAGGCTATGGACCAGGAGGAGTTGGACCTGGCGGTGCTGGTACTGGCTTTGGACCAGGAGGAGTTGGACCAGGTGGGGCTTTCTATGGTCCTGGAGGTAGGATAAAAGATAAAGATATATTTAAATAAAGGGGTATATCTGAATTCAGATCCATTGGCGAATATAATACTCTTAACAGATCTTGATGTGTCTGCATTTTGCAGGTTATGCTGGTGCTAAAGCCCGCAAATATGGTGAGAAACAACTTAATTTTTTTTTTAATTATATCTAGATTTATCATCAACCAGTATTGATTGATTGGCATCAACAGATAAAAAGATAAAACAAATAAAATGCTGCTCTCTGCAGGTCTGCCTGGAGGTACCCTGGGTGCAGGAGGACTTGGTGGTGGAGGGGGGCCTGGTTCTGGGCTTGGAGTAGGAGGAGGGGTCCCAGGACGAGGTGTTGGAGTAACAACTGGTGGTGGACCTGGAGCTGGACTGGGGACCGGTGGGATACCTGGTTCTGGTATTGGAACGGGAGGTGGACCAGGTGGCTTTGGACCAGGCGGTGCTGGAGGTATGAACTGAAGAACCTCAGATACTGTATGAAACAATAACATCACTAAACATATTACGGACATGTACATTAAATAAATTCTCAATCACAGTAACTGAATATATTTCAACCCTTTATTAGAGTTAAAATTCTCACCAATATGCTCCTCCTCAGGGCTTCCAGGTGGTGGTGGGACAGGAAGAACAGGATATGGACCGGGTGGATACGGACCTGTTGGATATGGACCTGGTGGATATGGACCTGGTGGATATGGACCTGGACCTGGTTACGGACCAGGTGGAGGCTATGGTGCAGGACCAGGAGTTGGATATGGAACAGGTTCTGGGGGCAATTCAAATTTTGTCCATGATCAATTTTGCCAAACTGAAACAGAGTTTGCTTAAATCCATAAATTAAATCATGTCTCTCGTTTACAGGCTATGGAGCTGGATTAAAACCTGCTAAATATGGTATGAAAATGTTCCATTTTTGTTTCTTAAAAACATGATGTTGGATGTTTCATGCAAATTCCAGTAAAAGCACATTTATTTTCATATGTTACTGGTGTAGGTCAAGGTGGAACGGGTGCTGGTGGGGTACTTGGAGGTGGAGCAGGACGAGGTGGTGAGTTGTTTATGTATGATGACGCTGAGAATTGCAAGATGAGAGCTTCTGTTAGTTGTTTGATGGTATTCGTTTTCAATGATACACTCTTAAAACTCTCTTGATAGAGTTTTTTATACTTCATTTGTTATCTTGTGTAATTGTATAGGTGGTTATGGACAAGGAGGATTTGGAACTGGCTCTGGGGGTCTAGGTTGGTTTGCAGAAGAGTACTCATGTAGTAATGTGTGTAGTTTTGTCAACAAGATCTAAATCATGTTAAAACTCTAAACCACAGTATGAACTATTACTTTATTGACCTCTATTGGTGGTTAGTGGGATTGCAGCAAATGGTCCCCTGCATTACACCTGGCTTGTAACTGGAACAAATGTTGAGGTTACATTTGAGGTAATACTGGTCTGTCGTTGGTTTTATTGTAGTAGTTGAGACTTTTTTGGAGAAGCTGGAAATATGAGTAGGTGGGTGGGAGGACAGGAGTGTTTTCAATCAGTATGCTGCATTATGGTAAAATACTTAAACTGTCACATTCACAGACTGCTATTTTGAAACACAGATCAGATGTTTGGCTCATACCTGTCCTGTTTGATTATGAAGCTGGAGGAGACCAACAGAAACAAAGTGTCATGCTGTAATAAGTGTGATATTAGTTGATGATATGTAGTTGAAGAATGACGATGTTTGTGCAAAGCTACATATTTTAGCTTTACAGTATTTTTTTTGTTTCAAAGTTAGAGTACATACTGGAAAGTGAAATCTCAGTCAGGAAAGGGGTTGTTATAACTAAAACTACATGCCACTTTTAATTGTTTATCTCACCTAAATGATTAATCACTGTCTTTCTATCACCTGAGTAGTCGATACTTCTACCTCAACTTCTTTGTTGTGATCCTCAGGCTACGGTACAGCAGGATCTAAAGCTGCAAAGTACGGTAAGTTTGACAAGACTCTGTGTCAAGATGAACATTATGTCTAAATTATACAGTTGTTTGGACTGAGACACAGAGTTGTTTATTAGCACTTTTATTGAATTTACCCGATTATCTCTTTTATAAACTGTAGGACTTGTACCTGGGGCAGGAGCAGGGACTGGCACAGGAACAGGAACAGGCACAGGAACTGGCACAGGAACAGGCACAGGCACAGGAACAGGCACAGGCACAGGAACTGGCACAGGAACAGGAACTGGCACAGGAACAGGCACAGGGACCGGCCTTGCAGGAACTGGCACGGGGACTGGCACTGGTGTTACAGTGAATGGCACCAGCACTGGCAGTAGTGCAGGGGCGACAGCCGGACCCAGTGGTAAGCTTCTGTTTTGAGGTTTAAGAATACACATTTTGGTTACAGTGAACTATTAATTAGATAATCTATGTGTGATCATCTATGTCTGTTGGATCAGGAGGGGGACTCGGAGCCACAGGAGGCACACCAGCTCCAGCATCAGAAGGTATCTGTACAGCGTTACCACAAAGCAGCTGGTGACACAAAAACACATTTCTTGTCACATATTACACAACAATACATTTACTCATTGGGGTTTCCAGTACATTAGTATAAATATATATAAAAAACAAGCCAAACAAGGATGGAAAAGACAGTAATGGAGGTGATGCCCAAATTAGAGGAAGAAGAGAGACAAAACCAGCTTATCTGAAAAGGATTTTGGTATTGTCTTTGAGTTATTCAGTTCACACACTTATCCAAAGCCCCTGCATTTGGCCCTATTTTTCAGTATTTCCTATGTTTTTGTCACACCTCATATTTACTTATTACTTAATACTATATACTGTGTTTTCTTAGCTTCTAATGTGACATACCCCCCTCACCTTTACAACCAGTATAGTACTGTTTTCAAATCTCAGTCCTTTTAATATTTTGCCCCTATTTCAGGTGATGGCAGTGTGATAGAGGGGTCTGGGAAGTTCTGGAGGAGAAGGTGTGTGTAAACTTACTGGATTCTTGAGAAACTGTCTTTTCTTACCTTGAAACTGCACAGATTTTGTGCATAGATTACAACATGTATCACAAACAACACAGACATTAAAATTCAGGTGCAGGGATGCAATAATTTGGTAATAACAACATGGAAAACACCTGAGAAAATGAAGGAACAAAACACTAAAATGTTAAAATAATATTAGCTGAAGTATTTAATTTAATAGTGCACTGTATATCATGTTACATTAGGTACTGGTGTAGCTGGCAGACCAGTGGGTGAAGGAGGTGACAGAGATGCCCTGGGTGGAACAGGAATCCCCATCATTGGAGCAAGACCAGGTAATTTAATAATTTATGCTACAATTTCAAAATACATATTAATGCAAACTAAGGTGTTAATAATTCATTCTGTAGCTAATTAATTCAGGAGTGTTTGTGGAAGAAACTTTGAGGTCTTACAGCTCTTAATTTAGTCTTCTAACTGTTTCTATGTTTTTTTAATTATCTTTATAAAACAGGACTCAATGGGACAGTTCCAGGTCAGTGTTTATTTCACAGCCATGATTGTCTGCAAGCACTGTAAGTTCATCCATTTCTGTCAGACAGCATCTGTGTCACTGTTCAGATGTAAACCAAGGTGGATGTTTTGGTTCTGTATCTTTCTTTGTTTGCTTGCTTGTTAGTCCCAAAAACCATCATGCAGATTTAAAGAACACTGTTTCTTGGATTTAGGTGTGGACAGTGCCATCATGTGGTCATTTATAAAGCACTTTGTGTTTTCACTCCGAACATCTGAAGTGTAAAAGAAAACATTTCAGGACTCTTTTAAAATTCCTGCCTACACACATTGTCTGCTATTTTATATCATTGCTATATACTTTTTTCCCGCATTTCTCCAATAAATAATATACTTTACAAATTCAGAAACGAATTACAATGGAACTAATTAACATTTCTAACATGGGTACATAAATAATAAAAACTTGAACTGGAATAAAAGAGGTCATATAAATATCAGTATACTGTGTTGATACATCTATATTCACAAATCAATACTGAACATCCTCTCTACAGCTAGAATTCTGATGAGACTGAACTGTGTTTCTAAATGGCCCAAGTATTGCATGTATCATCTACATAACAAATGTACTTGTTTCCTGTAGGGATTAACAATACTGATGATTTTGTTCTCAAATCCTACAGGTTCCACAGGAGCCGCCCCTGGTAAGTTGACATTAAATACACCGAGCACTGACATGTTAGTTGTGAGAGGTTAACAGAGCTTTTTATACAGTAATAAGTTACTATGGATTTTGAAATACCACAAGCATAATTTAAACTAGTGGCATATCACTCTATCTCCAGTGTTTTTAAATTTGATGCATCACAATATTTCTCCACTTGAATGCTTTGACTGGTTTACTTTAGTGTTTTTCTCGCACTTCCTATCACAAAACTGGCACCACACAATACTGTACAGCAGGCTGATATTAGCTAACAACTGCAGCTGGCTACAAATATATTTAAAAAGCATTTAATTTTGAAAATGTATTGCAAAGCTGGACTGATAGCTGCCTAAGATAATCTTTATTTTCTGTCCTATCAGTTGGTGGCGGGGCTATACAACCAAGTGGTACGTAAACCTCAATTAACTTTTCGGTAAAGCATACATGCTGTTTTCAGGATTTCTCTTAACAGTATTTCTACTCTTGTTTTAAACAGGTGGGATGGGTGTTGGTGAGTAGGCCTATGTGGCTCACATATTTCTATAAGATGCATGGGATGTTAGTGATGCCTGCACTTCCTGTAGTGTTAATTGGACTTACTTAGAGGTTGTCACTCTGGTTTTCTCTCTCTCTAAAATGTAGGTGGTACTGGAGTTCCCTCTGGAGGTGAGATTTCCTACTAGACACATATGATGCAGAGCACTTCTTTGCTTTATGCCTTTCAACTATGATTCCTGCTTGTGCTTCTTTAATTGTCTCCTCGGCTTCTACATCCTCTCAGTAGAGATCTTCAATTTCCCTGTATAATTTTGCAGGTTCTGGTGGTGATCTCTCTGGTACGCTGCCTGGAGCCAAACCCCTCAAACCCCCAGGTGAACAAAATAAAACCCAATTTACCCTTAATTTATAACTCGAATTTCAGGATATAGTGTTTTCCTATACAGTAGGAACAGCAAATTACCAATGGGAAACGACAAGTAACATACTGTATGACCTCCGATGAGAGCCACCTATCAAAATCTATTGTACATTCAAAAGTTTAAATAGGTTTGTGATCACAAACTGGGGACTGTACTCACTCCAGGAAGACTCGCAACCACTGTGTGCAAACTAATAGGGATCCAAATATAGAATAAACAATACTCACCAGGCTTTTTCTCTGTAATGGCAATTGAATGTAATAGTTTTGGTGGTTACTGACTTTGTTCTCGGTTCGAGTTTTTATTCTACGCTGAAATACGGGTCTGGTTTCCTTCTGTGCAACTGTCTGCAGGTGTCCCCAGAGGTGACACACCAGGTGAAGGAGATGGAGAGGGAGGTCCTGATGGAGAAAGAGGTGATACAGCAAGCACAAGTGGAGGACCGGGAGGAGTAGGAGGGCGTCCTACCAGTGCCGGAGCTACAGGAGGTGTGTCAGGTGGCGTGACAGGAGCGGGAAGAGGAGACAGTGCTGCTACTGGAACTGGAGTTGGACCAGGAGGTGCAGCTGGTGGAGTAGGAGGAACACCAAAACCGCCCAAAGGTGCCATTTTTGCTCTCTGAATGTATACTCCATTATGACTGTATTACATCTACCTCCATTCAATATCCAACAATATTACAATCTGTAACAAAAAAAGGTAAAGGAGATTAAAACATCTTTATTTACTCAAGAAAAACATCTATTATATCATTGTTTCACATGTAGAATATGGACCTGATGGGACTGTAGCAGGAGGTGTAAGTGGTGGACCTGGTGGAGTCGGTGGGGTGGGAGGAGGAAGCACTGGTGGAGTTGGAGGAGTTGGAGGAGGTCCTGGAGGAGTTGGAGTAGGAACAGGAGCCCTTAAACCTGGAAAAAGTGAGCTACTACCATGTTTTGTGTATTCATCCCAAACCTACATGCCTATATGACAGTGACACAAAGATTTCTTATTGATACATTTCACTCATTATCTATCATAGGTTATGGAGCTGGAGTTTTACCAGGTGGAGGTATGTTAACTAACACTATCCTTACCATCCTAGCTACAGCACACAGATGACTGAAACATACCTAAAATACAGAATATTTTTTTTCCTCTCAGGTATTCGTTACCCGAGTGGAGCTGGAGTAGGACAGGGAACAGGAAAACAAGGCAAAGGTTCTTGTCAACTATATTTTCTTTAACAATGCTATATTATTTTGACTTCAGCGATAAGCTTCATGATACATTTAATGTTTTTATCTTTCCTTCAGTTTATGGAACTCTTGGAGCAGGAGGCCAGGGTAGGGTTGGGCCTGGTGGTTATGGAGCCGGTCCTGGTGGCTATGGTACAGGTCCAGGAGGTTATGGGGCAGGACCTGGAGGTTACGGGGCTGGTCCAGGTGGGTATGGTGCTGGGCCTGGTGGATATGGAACTGGACCTGGAGGCTATGGAGGCAGCAGAGGCACTGGTGCCGGGCCTGGCGGTGCTGGGACCCTCGGAGTTGGAGGGGCTGGAACTGGAGTAGGCCCTGGTGGAGTCGGTGGAGGACTGGGGGGATATGGTGGTGGTGTAGGTCCTGGTGGTAAGTTGAAACAATTATTAATTATCAAAATTAAAACTGAACACAACTCATTGCAATAGCATGTAATTTAAATATAATATATAAACTGTTTATCTTAAATGCTCTGTTGTCCAGGTACAAGATATGGAACAGGTCCAGGACTGGGTACTGGCTCTGGAAAACCACCAAAAAGTATGATAAGACTTCACATACAGAGTAAACATACAGATACAATCATTTAAGCAAAAAAAAACTGAACCTGAATCAACATTTGCTTTTAGGTTATGGAGCAGGAGCTGGTGGTACTGGGGTTGGGCCTGGTGGCTATGGGACTGGACCAGGGGGAGTCGGTACTGGTCCCGGAGGTTTTGGACCAGGTGGCTTTGGACCTGGTGGTACTGGTGCTGGTAGCTACGGACCTGGTGGCACTGGACCAGGTGGATACGGGCCCAACACTGGGACGGGACTGGGGGGTGTTGGAACTAGGCCAGGTGGTTTTGGACCCGGTGGTGTTGGCACTGGACCAGGTGGTGTTGGCACTGGACCAGGTGGTTTTGGCACTGGACCAGGCAGCTATGCACTTGGTGGAGCAGGTCAAGGACTGGGAACAAGAAAGCCACCCAAATCAGGTATAACACTCACATATTTTAACACTAACGTTAATAACGTATTATATTTTAAGATATATTCAGGCTGTTAACTCCTTCTGACAGGCTATGGATCATCTGCACTGGGTGGAGCAGGCTACGGGCAAGGTGAGAAACATCTTCATTCGATCACTTTAACAACTTTAAAGTGTACAGTTTGTTTAGGCTTCCCTATGTTTGTACATTATAACATACCCTTTTCTACCGGATCGTTAAAAGGATAAACTATGATTATTATTTTGATTAACATTGGACCAGGCGGTGCTGGCACAGGTACAGGTTTTGGACCAGGCGGTGCTGGCACAGGAACAGGCTTCGGACCAGGCGGAGCTGGCACAGGGCCAGGTTTCGGACCAGGTGGTGCTGGTACAGGAACAGGTTTCGGACCAGGTGGAGCTGGTAGAGGAACAGGTTTCGGACCAGGTGGTGCTGGTACAGGAACAGGTTTCGGACCAGGTGGAGCTGGTAGAGGAACAGGTTTCGGACCGGGTGGAGCCGGCACAGGAACAGGTTTTGGACCAGGTGGAGCCGGCACAGGAACGGGTTTCGGACCAGGCGGTGTCGGCACAGGAACAGGTTTCGGACCAGGCGGTGTCGGCACAGGAACAGGTGGCGTCAGACCAGGGGGCCAAGGATTAGGAAAAAGAAAACCCTCTAAATCTGGCAAGTAATGATTATACAAGTAAAACTATAAAGTAGGTGATACATTTTATTTTTTACTGATGGAGGCATGCGTTAGATTTGACTGTTTTAATAAAATAATTAGCAAGACATTGTTTGACCAAATTCTTTCTCATCCTTTATTTCAGGTTATGGAGGAGCTGGGTATGGACAAGGTGAGGTTCTGGTTAAGATTAGGGATAGTAAATATCTTTTTATACATTAATGTGGTATCTAGTTGTGCTAATATATTTAGATCTGTTTCCCAGCAGGAGGATTGGGAGGAGGTACAGGAACTGGCCGCCTCGGCCCAGGAGGTGCTGGAACTGGTGGTTATGGCCCAGGAGGAGCTGGAACTGGCGGCCTTGGCCCAGGAGGTGCTGGAACCGGTGGTTATGGCCCAGGAGGAGCTGGAACCGGTGGTTATGGCCCAGGAGGAGCTGGAACTGGCGGCCTTGGCCCAGGAGGCGCTGGAACCGGTGGTTATGGCCCAGGAGGCGCTGGAACCGGTGGTTATGGCCCAGGAGGAGCTGGAACCGGTGGTTATGGCCCAGGAGGAGCTGGAACCGGTGGTTATGTCCCAGGAGGCGCTGGAACCGGTGGTTATGGCCCAGGAGGAGCTGGTACAGGTGGTTATGTCCCAGGAGGCACTGGAACTGGCAGCCTCGGCCCAGGAGGCGCTGGAACTGGTGGCTACGGACCAGGAGGTGCTGGAACAGGACCAGGGGGCTTTAGACCTGGTGGTGCAGGTGGATATGGACCTGGTGGCCAAGCACTTGGGAAAAGGAAGCCTAAATCTGGTTACGGCTCATCGTTGGGTGGAACTGGCTATAGACAAGGTAAAATTCTCCACTGATGCATATAAATACCTAATTATAACTTTCTAAGGCTCTATTGTAGTACTGGGCTCTACAGTAGACACCAAATCACTGTGTATTATGACTAGGTGGAAAAAAATCTAATTAAAGGACTTGATCATCTTTAATATGCAGACATGTCTACTTTTGTAAACTGAATTTCATCCATGTTATTAATACAGTGATTAAGAGCTTGAATTAGTTCAGCAAGTGTTAGCCCCTTGAAGGATATAACATTTACTTTTATTAGAACTTAATAAAACAACAGTGATATTTGCATGTTATTCTGTATAATTACGGTTATATAACAAAATACAATAAACTTGAAGCCTTGTCACGGCAGTTATAACTTGCGGAGATACTCATTTATATTCTGTCTAATTTACTCCAACCCTGCCTCTGTTCATCAGGTGGTGCAGCAGGAGTGCTTCCTGGTACAGGAACAGGAGGTATCATTGGAGGCCCAGGTGAGTTTCTTGTTTATAATGAAAAACTAAAGACTAAAAAGATGAGTTACTGTAAGTCTAAGTGTAAATCGTTACAGGTCTTTCAAACATGAAAAATCTAAACTAGCAAAGCCTTTTCTCTGCTAAAGGTACACTGTGTATCACAGTTATTTTCTGAGGATTTTAAGTGCTGATGTGACTGATTTATACACTTTCATACTCACTTGTCTGTCCAGGTGGTGTAGCAGGAGGCACAGGAGGTTCTGCAGGAACAGGCCAGGGGGTAGGAGGAGTAGGAGGAGTAGGAGGAGGAGCAGGCGGCTTACCAGGTCAGTTCAAACGGAGTCCTGATAAAATACAAAACAATAATATAATTATATAAACATTTGTATTTTTATATTTTGAGATTTGAAAACAAATCCATTTACAATACCACTGTACAGTAAATACATCACGTGCCTGCTGATGAGACAGATCAGTCTAATAAGAAAGTGTATTGTGCAAGGCTTGTAATGTGTCCATTGTTCCAGCAGGGGGAGTTGGCCCTGGCTATGGTGGGGTGGCTGGTGGAGGATATACAGGTAAAACAGAAGCACTTTATGACACTTTATTTCTCATTATTATCTCAGCAAACTATTTGTGAAGATTAAAAATTAATAAATTAAACATTTAATAAAACTTGTAGATACCCCAAAAGGGGTACACACACATTATATGCACCAGGGTTATTATAGTAAACTAAAACTAAACTAAAAACTAAAACTAGGTGTGAAAAACATTTAGACTTTAAGAAGACTAAAATAACTGAAGTAACATTGTGTACTTAAAAAACCAACCAAATGAAATAAAAACATAGAGGAAATGTCGTGTGTAGTTTTAGTCTTTGTCAGTTTGGGCCAATAGGGTTAGATGGGGTAGGCTATTGGTGCATTATGTTTATTGAGACTGTCTACATGAGTGAGTCCGCTGCCTTCATAAAGAGTTGTGTTTGTATTGTAATACTTATTTTCACTTAACTTATGCAAACTTACCCCTGACAAATACCCCCATATTATAATTACAAAATAATACAAATTACTAACTTATACTACTACTGATAAAAACTAAGCAATTTTAAATTAGAAAAAACTCAACTGAAATGAGCAAATCCACCCTGAAAACTAACCAAAACTAAATAAAAATGACAACTAAGAACGAAACTAAAACTAAAAATACACAACTATAATAACTCTGATGTCCACACAAAGTAGGGAAATGCTTTTATCCTTGGAGTCAGGCCTTGCATGGTGAATATTTGTTTTGGCTTAATTTCATTCACGTCACTGCTTAGATTTAAAAAAATGAGACCATTGTAAAGATTATCTCTGGTTTATTATGACTATGTCTTTCCTTTTATTGTTCTCTAGGATATACTGGGGCTGGACAAAAATGTAAGAAAACTCACTGTGTCCTCTTGGATAAGCGTGCTCTCTTGACATATCCCCAACATTAATACTTCACATAGATACACTAAACACATGAGAGATGATCATTTTGAAATTTCTTTTGGAAAAAATTTTGTTTTTATGACCATTAGTTCTGGGTATTATTATAGGGAGCCTCAGAAACTGTATGTATCTGCCTAATAACTTTTACTTTCATGTCTTTTAGCAAAAGCACAGAAGGCAGCCAAGTATGCAGCCATGCAGGCCTTACTGGGCGCCGGGGGCTACAGAGGTAACAATCACTCACATTATATTACTTAACAGTGAGCCATATCTTACAAACTAAAACGTTGTACTGGAATTTGATGAAATTCAGTCGAGTAAAACACCACTTTGTAGTTGAGTCATGAGCTCTTTTTTAGGTGTTGTAACTTTTAATAATGAGTTGAATTTAGTCTGCTGGACTAAGCTGATTAAGTTTACAAAGACAAACAGCGCACACTTCCCAGACTGCACTGTGTGATGTGTAATAATTCTCCACAAAGTCCTGTTCCTTCTAGTTTACAGAAAAGTTACATGGTGGAAACATTTTGATAAATTACTATCGTTTACTCAGAAATAATTGTGGTGCAAAAATGGTTTCCACAGAACTGCCATGTTTAAGTCTTACAGTCTCAAATACAGGAACTAAGTGGCTCTGTGGTAAATGACCCTCCTAACTAAGATAACATCACTGGGAAGCTATTCTGACTATGATGCTTGTTAGTGTGAAGTGTGATGAACTCTAGTTGACTGAACTTGATGTCTTAAGTTTACGACATTTTAATTCATGTATTATTTTATACTACAACTACTATCAAACTATTTATCCAGGTAATTTTTTAAGCCATCAAGAGAAGTTAAACCAGTTTAACTTGTTTTACAGTATAATTTTTGTTATATGTCAATGGTGGACTAATCATCTGATGTGTATGTAGGCGCTGGCTGTCAGGGTAAATACTGTGGCCGAAGGAGGAAGTGAGAGACCAACAGACAGGAAGTGACCTCATTAAAACAACAGTGGTGCTATTGCATGATCCCAGACTCTAAATGTCTTATCTGCCATAGAAGCTAAAGCTTCAACACATTCCATGTTACACTTTAATTTGCTTCGATTTTATACAAACGTCTCTTTCAGAAAGAGCACTGGTTCTCAACCTGTTACTGTCCTGATTCCTTAAATGCTTCTGATGCAGGCTGCTATGCAGAGCGGAGAAATGTGTCTTTGCCGTGTTGTTGTTTGGATAATTCAGCGATTTGACTTGAAAAATAGTCACAAGACAAACAAGTTAGAACAAGTTAAAATACGTCTGTATGGGGGATACATTTGTTATAACAGTATTTTTCTCCACATTAATCACCCTGTGACTCTCCGGGGATCCTGACTACCAGGCTGAGAACCACTCAAATAAGGAAAGATTTCTTTTTTGTGAGGCCAAGCTGTATTATCATACACTTTATGTTTATTGTTGTTACAACATTTGTGTTCCTGTGCAAGTATCACGGTGAATCCTCTGGGTGAAGACTGATACCAAGGACACCCTCAGGGCAGCTCCTTCAGACCTGTCTGCATGCTGACACAATGTTTTTTTTTTTTTTAATCTTCAAGGCCACACTTTTATCCAGTTTGACTGGGTTTTCTTTGGGTCTGCAGAGTGTAATGTGTAATGTGATGTTTGTTTGGAGGAACTGTGAACAAAAGGGACTCCAAGTGGATTTTTTTATTTTCATTTTATGGTGTGGTGTTTTGACCGGTCTTTATCTGATCCCTGAAAAGCAGCCTGTGTTTGTTTTATCTGCACTCAGGCCTTAACAGTATTAACAAATGTGGAGGTCCTCAGCTGTTAACACAGATTCTTCCACTCCTCTCACAACATTACAGGCACTGTTTTATAGCTACATAACACTAATTGGTATAACATTTGGTTAACATGCATATTATTTTTATATTTGTAATGATATTATGGTGTGGCTTAGATTACATTTGCTGTTGAGGAAAGCATTCAAACTAAATGTGAGGTAATACTGTATGATTAGAATACATATAATGCATTTAAATGACATCTGAGGAGCATTGATTACTGTGTTTTTTTCTTTTTTTGATGTACCTCCTTTAACACTGTTGGAAAATTGTTCACGTTTACTAGTCTTTTTAAATTATGCTGACAAAAGGCAGAAAAAGCTATGTGCTTTATCTATTTAGTCTCATTTTACGAATTCAAGTGCATTAATACAGTATTAAGAGTTATTTTGTGTGTGTGTGTGAGTTTTAACAGTTTTTTAAACTTGTGTACTACGATGATAAATATAAGTTCTTTGTTTTCTACATTGTCCTTGAATGTGTGCTGAATCACAAGTACTCTGTGATGTCATTTGCATAAAAAAGTGTAACTGAATCTCATCTTGCATCCAAGCTCACGCTTGTGTCTCTATCATGTAGCTCAACATGTGGTTTTTTAACATCTGTGTTCTTTATGTGGCCAATGAAGAAAATGATGCACTTTTGTACACTTTCAGACAATGCTCTCAGAAATAAAGAAATGACCAATGACTTGTTATTTCTGCCTGTTGTTATTTTAAAGCAGAGGTGGAGGAGGAAGCCTGTGTTAATCTGTTGTGGCATTTTGAAAACCACAGGTAAGACTGAAACGAGAAAAAGGAACAGCTAATTTCTGCTAAAAAAGTTAGAGCAGCAGTCAAGCGTTGTCTTGGTGGTGACTTATAGTGAGACTCTGACCAAGTACACACTACAGCTTATTATAGTTTACACCAGTGCACAACATATTATGTAGAGCAGCAGAGCTGCAAGCAATGACTCAGTCAATAATCCTAAATATATATACACATGATAGAAGCACACCCTCCACACAAAAAGCAATATATACCCTTTAAGAAATCCCCGGCCTGATTTGGTTCATTACTCTAGTGTCTTTCTTACAAACACAATAAAAAGCAGCAGAGCCGCACTCACATTGATATTCTGAACATATTTAAACTTCATAATGAAAAGTGTCAATGGTTTTCTTCTCCTAAATCTGAGCGGTTCCCCATTCTTTTACTGAATTCTCCCTCTTTGTTCGTTGTGTGTAATGAATAGACTGCTTTACTTGCGAGGTCAGGACAGTGCAGTAATTGGGGCATTCATAAAGAGATTATGCCCATGCTGAAGGGAACAGAGCTCATTTCAAAACTCTCTCTCACACACCGCTCCTGAGAATAACAACACACACATCTTAACTTGTATAAAGTAGCTCCACATTTTAGACACTGTGAGCTTAACTCTCCTACACTAGGTGGACTCTGCAGAGGAGTGTAACTGTATCTTGCAGAGGTCTACATACTGAAAGTAACAGGAGAGGGACAGTGGAGCAGAACTTCTATACTGGGATAGGTCTGTTTCTCGGCAGTCAGCAGAGGGAGACTGGCCAGCTGGTGTCAGTGGGTCAGCTTTTTTCTCACACAGCTACGCTGCACATTAGAGAGGGAACTCATATGCACAGGAAACGAGCGAGAGAGAGAGAGAGAGAGAGACAGAGAGAGAGAGAGTGTAAAAAGGACAACGCCTGCTAACAGTCGTAGCAGAATACATGTAGGATCCGCTCATGAACACATGCAGCTAACAAGCTCCTTTGTAAACTGGGTGGATTATTTCTGAGTGACAGCTGTCTGTGGGTGAACTGAGAGGGCAGAATGTCACGACGGGACCAGAGGTTTCGGCGAGGAATGAAAGGACGGTAAGGACCTACAGTTATTGGTGAAAATGGTGACAAAAGAAAAGGAAGAGTTTTGAAAGAGTGAACGAAAGTGAGAGAGAGAAATTGTAGTTCAACATCTGCAATACTTCCTCAAAGAGAACAAACACATACATGAGTAATCTATGCTCTTTCTACTAGTATTGCCTTGTCAAGTATCCAAGCAGCCTACAGTACCATCCATAACTAATGTTCCTTTTTGTTTGCTTTAATTGTTTCACCCCATCAACAACTACTCTTCCTCAGTCTATATCAAAACATACACACAGAGCAAACTACACATGCGCACTCTTACATAACACCATTCAGACAACATCCCTGTAACACCAAACACTTTTTAAGAACCCTTTTAAGAACTACTGTTTTTTAAAGGACATCCAGACAGAACGGGAAGGAAACCATGGCAGGAGAATACGTCATCCGTTTATTAACATTTGACCTACGTTGATCTACTGACATCATAATATGTTTGTGTTTTGTACAGCAGGTCCTGGTGTGTCCGCGGCTCAGGAACAGATCTTAGAGCAGAGAGGTTTATAAACTGCTTAACACAAGAGTAAAGGGTGCAGCACGAGCCAGATGAGGGGGAATACTTTAAGGTGGAGAAATAAGAGAAATGTGAGGAGACGGGCGGCAGTAGTAGAGTGAGGATAAATTCTGTGAGTTTGGGCTGATTCCAGGGTTTTTTCACGACCAGATGTTTAGGTGGAATCACAGATGTGAAGTTGGAAGGTTCCACATCCGTTGCCAGCAGCACAATAACAAAGACAGGAGGTCTAAAATAAACCTGCAGCTGTCTGATGGTTTTATTACTTAATTATTTCCTCAGTAAAAAAAATGACTAGGATAGATCTCTAACAGAACTTCCCATGGCGCTCCAACACAGTATCTGTAGGAATTAGTAACTGTATTTACTTTACGTAAAAGACTTTAAGTCTTACTGCATACGAGCTGCAGTGAACCTGAAGTTCATTATTACAGCTACAGTATCTATCAAGATGAACATATTGCTGTTCTCTTTTAAGAAATTACATAAAAAGTGATCCTATTTAGTATTTGCATGAAAAATCACACAAGAAGTGATCCATTAAATTACCATGTAGGTATAATTCATCATGCTTATTATCACTTAAAGTTGTTTTACAATATTTAAGACTAAGACGACACAACTATTTTTTTCTAATGTAATCAGTAAAAAGCTTTTAATAAACAAAATTAATATGACTGATTGCCATCAAATGCTGTCATTAAGTGTCTCTTACACTGGAGGAAAGTTGAGTCTTTCCCTCCACAACTGCTTCATTCTCAATAGTAAGGCAACCTTTTCATTCCCTATTGTATGAACAGCATGACATTTACAGTAGAGAGGAAACATGGTGCTGTACTCTGTCCAGGAAGTCAACTCCCACTCCGGTTGTAGTGTCCGAGAGATAAGGAAGCAGGTTTTTTTGTTGTACATAGGTATTATTCTACATTCATTTGAAGCCAGGATGCCAGAGACAGAGAGTTTTCTGAGTTTTCAATGGACTGAAAGTGAACATGTTCATGAGTGACAAATATTATTAGAGTCAACTGTTGTAATGTTTTGTTAAGTTCCTTTTTGCCATCTTTAAGTAGGTGTGGCCACTTAAAATTAAATTACAGTGTTTTCATGAAGACATGTGACTGACCAGTGACCCTACATGACTAGTCCTTTTGTGAGAAGAAGAAGAAGAAGAAGAAGAAGAAATGCCCTGTCAGTTACGGTGACATCAGCAGTTCAGTATCTATAATGCATCATTTCAACACCATCCCTGCAGTGAAGATAACTGTATTCCTTCCAGCAGCTTGATGTCTCAGCCCTTAACTTTGTGACTAATAAAAGCATCACGCAAGGTCAAACATGTCAAGAGTGGAAAGGAGTATCAGTATCAGTGACATAGCAGAATAGAAAAATAGGTTAACTGAAAATTCATGTTCCAACTGACCTGGAAGTGATCTACCTGATCCTGCATGTGACGATCCAGCAGGTCAACTTTCCTTGTGTTTTCCATCACTGATCAGGCTCACGTTACTTTGTGCGACCGGACCGCTGAAGTGTCTATGTCTTACAGCCTAAATCTAAATCTGCATCTTCTCTTGTTTCATCTTTGTGCCATCTCATTGTTTCACCATCCCTCTCGTTCCTTGCTTCCCTCTTTTCTTTAGGTGTTGTGAATGCGGCTGTATTCTGTCTCACTGGTACTATGAACGAGAGGGGCAGCTCTACTGTAAGAAGCACTACTGGGCCCGTTACGGAGAGCACTGCCACGGATGCAGGGAGACCATCACAACAGGACTCATTATGGTAACATCATAATCACTGAAAATGAGACAAAATCGGTCAAACCAAGACACCTACAAATAGGGCTGTACAATAGGGTACATATCTTAATTCAGTTAATAAGACTTCATATATATTTTGAAATAATCGCACAGATCTTTTTAGTCATTAAAATGCTCTACAGGGGTCAGCAACCATTACTATTTAAAGAAAGTAATCTGTCTGGAGCCACATAATGTTGATTGTCAGGGCAGATCAAGCATACCGGTAAGCCAGAAGCGTTGGCTGAAAGCAAACAAATCCGTCCACGCACTATTAAATTCTCCTTCCTTCATTCCTTTTTATAGCCTGGCTAGGGAGATTTAAGATTGGTAGCTAGTACCTAATGAGGTTCAGCAAAATGACGAGGAAAAGCTGACATTGTTATCAGCTGATGTTTTATTCTGTGAGTAATAGGTACATATTTTTACAACTGGAGAATGTAAGTATCATATCATTATTTGTCAAAGTCACAAAGGGGCCACGAGGGGCTAAAGAGCTGCATACAACTCCAGAGTTGCAGGTTGTCTAGTCTCTTTGTACCATAAAGCAATAAAAAACACAAATTCATTGTGTTATTTTGTTTATAATATCACTATATGTCACTTCCATGAAATACTGTAATAAAGTAAAACTGTTCCTTAAACACTTCTTGTCTGTCCTAATTTCCTGATCAGTTCTTCTCCTCTGGTCTTAATTTGTGATGCTGAATAACGTTTCATTTCACAACATAGCAGTTAAAGACCCAACAAACAGTCCTGAGCCAGTCGCCAGCAGATAATCCTCCTGTTTTTCTGCTGGCTCACTCCAAAACATTTTGAACACAGCCAGTAACAAATCGATTGATAGTTAGTGAGCCAGTTTTAAAAATAGCTGTTTTATTGATCATTCAAGCCACCATTTGTTCAATCTGAATAGTGACCATACAAATATCAAATATGTACATTATGTAGTATTAACAGACATAATTATGGCCATAACCTCGGCTAGATCAAATATCGCAATAAGAAATACCAAATCTCAGCATGTTACACCAACTAGGCCTGTTCAGACATTAAAGGCCTTCCTGCCTCTTGGTTTCTTTCTGGTATTAAAGTAAATGCTTTTTTTCATTCAACTCTCAAACCAGAGGATATCCTCTGAAAACATCCTGACATTACAAGGCCTTGATGCAGGAATGCACAGAAAGATAGAATTGAGAGCTGCATTTAGCCCCTAAAGTTTGACCCCACCAATGTAAACAATATTATTCCCTGGGCCTCTGCTTTGTGTTTTATCACACTTCCTCCCTGTATGAACAGGTTGCTGGAGAGCAGAAGTACCACCCTGAATGCTTCACCTGTATGAACTGTGAAACGGTCATTGGAGATGGAGACACTTACACGCTGGTCGAACGCACCAAACTCTACTGGTAAGTTTGAAACTGAAAGCACAAAAATTAAGCAAGTCATCTAAATACCTGCTTGTGGAAAGCTAACAATTTTCTAAGTCAAAATAAGGGAGTGAAATGGAAAAAGTATAATTTTTTGTTCTTCTTGATTGTGCAGTGGCCACGGTTTCTGCCAACGTGTAGGATCAACTGTGACGTCAGTTTCTCCCCTCACCAAGAGCCCTCACATGGTGGCGCTAGTGTCTTTCCCTCCCCACGCAGGTGGCCAACGGGGTCTGACTGTAGCCACTGACCTCAGCCAAGAGAAAGGCCCTCTTGTTACTGTGAAAGGGTGAGTCTCTGAATGTTAGGCATGAGTGCTAAACTCCAACTCAACCAAAAAACTGATCCTGATTTTAGTCTTAGCCAGTTTTTCCTGCGCCCATTCACTCAATGCCATTTTCCCTCAGGTTAGACTCATCTGTCCTCAACCCTGACCTGCTTCCCTCTGTGCACACTGGTGACCGAGTACTGGAAGTCAACGGCATCCCTATCCGCAATATTTCCCCAGAGGAGGTAGGCCTCAAACCACCCACCGATTCAGCAATAACATCATAACTAAATGAGACGTAACTTCCTGGCATACAGTCACCTAAGGTTATCACTGTATCCTTTCCTCTAGATAAACCGTGTGATCCAGGACACAAGCAGACCACTGCAGCTGACCATTGAACACAACCCGCAGTCTCCAGATGATCTCCTTCGCTCAAACAATCCCCAGGATGACCTCAGCTGTACTGACCCCTGTGTCCCAGCGTCAACCCACAAACTACCAAGTCTGGAGGAAGAGCCAAGTCCAGGGGAGGAGACAGAGGAACCGATCAGGTTGAGCCTCTCCCCGCCTCAGCACCAAGGAACCACGGGAATGCGATCCAGACACATTCTGTAAGTGTTGTTTCTCAGCTTACTTTCATAATTTCTCCCCTATTTTTCTCCCCTATTCTAAGTCTTTCTTTTTCTTTCTCAGGCGCAGCTGTAGTATAGATAAGTGTCCTCTGTCCCCTGGAGCACTGTCACTTTTATCTCAAAAGAGAGACATGGTTCGCTCAGAGTCTCTTCGTGTGGACTCTGGAGATCGGACCCATCGCATCTTCAGACCTTCAGACCTCATCCATGGAGAAGTGCTCGGAAAGGGCTTCTTTGGACAGGCTGTCAAGGTACCGCAGCTCATGTTTTTCCTCATTTTCACTTTGTGCCTGTCATTATTATGGCTTGACTTGGTTGTCAGTTTGTTGATTCTAATCTAATCTAATCAACCTGTTGCTGTCAAGGTAACACATCAAGAGACAGGAGAGGTGATGGTGATGAAAGAGCTGATAAGGTTTGACGAAGAGACACAAAAGACTTTCTTGAAGGAGGTAAGTGGTCATCAAAGCAAGAAAAGCCTCATGAGTTAATAAGTAAGCAAGATAACTTCTACCAACCCCGCTGGTTGTCACTTTATTTAGGGATACAAAGGCCATAGTACATATTAAATCTAAGGGCTCAAAGTTAATGAAGAGCTGTACCATTAATTAAGTTAGTATGAAAGCTGGATTTGATCAGGAATGCTCCATCTAACACCATCATGAGGGTTAAATACAATCTCTCTCAATTTGTACAGGTGAAGGTGATGCGCTGTCTGGACCACCCCAATGTTTTAAAGTTCATTGGACTGTTTTATAAAGACAAACGGATAAACTTTGTCTCTGAGTACATCCAGGGAGGAACTCTCCGAGAGACCATCGTAAAAATGGTAAGTTAAAATAGTTTTTTTCTGTTTCTCCATGAGTACGGTCAAGAGTATGTTGGTCACAATCTTGTTGTTGTAGGACAAGGATTTTCCCTGGAGTATAAGAGTGGGTTATGCCAAAGACATTGCAGCTGGAATGGTGAGTCTTTCTCTCAATATTCAACAAGTAAAAGGTTTAAATCATACCTTAATCTGGTTCCAACTTTCCATAATGTATATAACGTTTCTCCTTCTAAGGCCTATCTACACTCCATGAACGTTATCCACCGAGATCTGAATTCACACAACTGCCTGGTCAGAGAGGTAAACAAATGGTTCACACACATCAACAAACATCTTCACTGCAGGATACACAAACAAAGCAAAACAATTTCCCTACTGTGTTGCAGTGTGACACTAACAATTTGATTACTTCTGGAAGTTTCAGAAATTTAATTGTAAATTTAGTGTGAACAAACAAGACAAGGGGAAGGTTTTGATAACTATAACTCTAAATTGGATCTAATTCCAAGTTAGTGAAATAAGCTAAGTCTATAAAATCTTTTATCTGTTCTTTTACCAAGCAAAGACTATTGTACAAAACACATAGACATATAGCTAACAAGCAATTGTGTAACCTATCTGACCTATTTGACTTTTACTTCTTACATATAACCTACATATGACCTTTGTTTTGTTTTAAGTTGTTGAAAGAATTTTCTTTATAAACAAGGCCATCTTCCAGCTATTGCTAGTCTATGTATTTCATTATGTTTTTAAATGATAAAACTCAAAATCAGATCAGGTCAAACTCTACTACTACTAACAATATAATTTTAACTTAAAGGAACAGTGTGTTATATTTAGTACATGTAGCGATGAAGTGGCAGAACTGAATACAGAATGCCTTCCAATCGTGGAGGAGAAACACAAACAACATTTAAAAACAACAAAGCATAACTCCTTCATTAACTGCTCTTTCTCTGTCTCTCTCCTTGGTTAGAACCAGTCTGTGGTGGTGGCAGATTTTGGACTGGCCAGGCTAGTGACGGAGGAGAGGAATCAGGGGAAGACCTCCTCTCTGGAACGGCCCGCAAAGGGGACACTATCCGAGCTCCGCAGGCCTGACCGGAGAAAGCGGTACACCGTGGTAGGAAACCCCTACTGGATGGCCCCTGAGATGATCCGTGGTGAGTGCACAAGGTTTCAGTTATAGGAAGGCGTCGCCAATCTCTGAATAAGAAACTGATTCACTGCACCTAAACTCAATTTGACAGAATGTTTCCATCTCCTGAAGCCCATAAATGTGGATTATCTGTTTCCATCCTGTTTCTAGAGGAGGTAAAGAGATTAAATTTATAACATCTTTGGTAGCCTGGACTGAAATTTTTTAATTCTAATTTAGAGGAGACACTTAGAAAATTACATTTTCTATACCAACTTCTAACAAAATAAATATAAATGCCCATTGCACAATGTTTCTGAGTAAAGGAGTGAGACTTCACAGCATATGTGTAAAGATTCACAATGGATTTACACTTCCTACAATAAGTGTTGCTTAATTTTATTTATTTATTTTCAATGAATATCAATTTGGAGAATGTTTTTCTCAAGTGCTGTACACCATGCTGGTTTGACACGGGTATAAATACTCTAGGTGAAGTTTCTGAGCAGTACTGACTGAACTCAACTTGACTTTTGATATATAAGTGCTGCACTATGATAAAACGTATTAACTTTAATGGCAAATGTAATATGAACACTGTACACTGAACACAGGATCTCTACATCTCCAGCACGGGTCAGTACTGATGTAAACGTGGTTCACATTCTCCAATCTTTTCTCTGCACCTCTCAGGGAAAAGCTATGACGAACGGGTGGACATCTTCTCCTTTGGTATCATGATATGTGAGGTAAAACTTGATTTCTAAGATTTCAACAGATATGAAATGTAAGAAATGTTGTGTAAATCTCAAAGAAACAAACCTATATTATACATACTTTATAAATTAAGTATAATTTATAATTAAGTATCATATCAATTTTGAAGCTGAGTGTGTATCTATCTCTGTCTCTCTTAAGATAATAGGTAGAGTGAATGCCGACCCTGACTACCTTCCCCGAGCGAATGACTTTGGGCTAAATGTAGCCGGTTTCCTGCAGCAGTACCACCCTCCACACTGCCCCTCATCCTTCCTGCCGCTGGGTGTCCTCTGCTGTGACATGGACGCTGAAAAACGGTATGATTGCACAAATCCAACACAACTGCAGACCTAAATTTCTATAAAGCTAAATATGAGCTATATTTAAATAAAATACCTCTGTTTTATATTTTGTTGCTTGATCAGCCATAATATTATGACCACAGGTAAAGTGAATAAAAGTGATTATCTGGTGATCATGGTACCTGCCAGTGGGTGGGATATAATAGGCAGCAAGAGAACATTTTGTCCTCAAAGTTTATGTGTTAGAAGCAGGAAAAATGGGCAGCGTGAGGATTTGAGCTACTTTGACAAGCGTCAAATTGAGATGGTTAGACGACTGGGTCAGAGCATCTCCAAAACTGCAGCTCTTGTGGGGTGTTCCCGTCTGCAGAGGTCAGTAGGAAGGAAAAGTGGTGAACCGGAGACAGGGTCATGGGCAGCCAAGGCTCACTGATGCACATGGGGAGAGAAGGCTCGCCCATGTGGTCCGATCCAACAGACAAGCTACTGTAGCTCAAACTGCTGAAAAACGTAATGCTGGTTCTGATAGAAAGATGTCAGAACACACCGTGCATCACAGTTTGTTGGTATGGGACTGCATAACATTTTAGGACTGATCAGTGTAGGCCACACCACCACTATTTCAAATTTAACAAATAGTTAGGGGGTTGGGGGTGTTTGGTATAATTTTACCTGTTGGTGTGAAAGTGTTGTGGTAGTGTAAAGTTGAAAAGGAAATTGCTTAACAACTTATTTTTACATTCATCCGTTACCTTAACTGCAGTCAGATAGTTGTGAGGTTATTTCTGGTTAGTCGATGTACAGTGTACAATGTCTACTATATTAACTGGTGTATTAACACATACAGCTTTTATGCAGGGCTCTAGGGGCTACATTCAATACTGAACCAAGCAATGAATTACACAAACAAACTCAACTAAAAGAGAACCAAATATTGTCCTAAATATTTAACTAATACACTACTGCAGTAGAGAATGTAAGACTGTACAGCCTCTCATCACTACAACTCTTCTACTCTTTCAGTCCTTCCTTTTCAAAGCTGGAGGAGTGGCTGGAGAACCTGCTGATGCACCTGGACATCGGTCTGCCTCTGCTCTCTGAGTTAGAGCAGCTCCGCAGGGCCTTCTGGCAGAATCACAACCACCAAAACCACTTTCACAACCAGGACAAGACCCTTGATTCTCACGAACAAACCCACTGTTCACAGCCACAGAAACAGAGCCCCGATCCAGAGCGACATTCAGACACTGCAAATAATCACATTGAGCCCAGTCACCTCACTCAGAGCAAAGACCAAAACACACCTGACAGCCATTCGGACGGAGAGCAACACGTGCATGACAACCATGACATAAGGACTAAGCATGACGACCTGAGCGGAGATTGTAATGACCACTCGCAAGACAAGAGCCAAACATGTTGCAGGTCTACAAGCCCAGACTCAAGCAAGAGTGAGTCTGAAACATATGAACACAATAACCCCTCAGGAGAACTGAAAGCCCAGCAAGGGCTCTCACCACCACCGCAGGTCAACAACTCGCTGCTAGGCCGGTCCAACAGGCTCAGAAGGACATGCAGAGTGCAGTGGAACGGAACAAAAGAGGACAGCTCTTTTCTCTAACTGCTTAATCCAACGGCCAAGACAGGACACATCTACAAAGCCCAGTTTTGATGGATTAAAAACACTGAATAAAGACATTTGTGCCTTTTCAAATAAATAACTGGGAGAGAACTGAAAGAGTCCTAAAGATGCTAACTAACACATGGAAAACCTGCAGAGGAATAAAACCAGACTGATGTGGGATATTTTTCATGAAAAACAGTAAAGATTTGTATGCAGCTTAATAGCAACTGCCTAATACATTAAATTAGTCTCATATTGCTCTGTAAACCAGTATTTATGTGGTTTCAACTAGAGCCCCAACCAATACTGGATTTACTCGATACCCATCCTATACCTCAGTCGTTCCCAACCTGGGGGTTGGGACCCCCACTAGTGGTCAACAAAGCTTCACAGGGGGTTGCGAGGCCTTCTTGATTTTAAGGCATGTGAGAAAACTTTAAAAATATACACAGTAGGCCTATATCTCAACATTTGGTTCACTTCTGTGAAGAAAATTAAATGTAAATTGTCTAATAGAACAATGGCCAAGCGCTAGGGATGAGAAAACACAGAATTTGTCAAAAAAGAAGCCTATTAAGTCTGTATGATTGCTTAAAGAAGCATAATACAGACAGAAAATCGGTATATAATAATTATAAAAAGTTCCCTTAACAGGAAATAATCTCAAAATGTATCCAATCACTTGCTTTATACAAACTTCTTGGAGTTACTGAGCTCACTATTTGGGTTAAACTGTACAGTTTTTAATACAATATAAAATATATCCATACAATATGTCAGGGGGTCGTCAGTTTACTGAATGATAGAAAAGGGGTCCCTTGATGAAAAAGGTTGGGAACCATTGTCTTATCTGATTATTTAAATTCCTCAGAATTACTCTATGTAATGATAACCCAGTTTATAAATTACCTCAAACAAGTCTTTGGTATTTCTTTACTACAATATCTCTTTACTTATCGGCCAACATCTATAACAATATACTGTAAGTGTATTTTATGATAAGCTAAAAATAAGCTGGCCTGTTTTTGTTTTAGTATTGGTTGGGCTCTAGTGTCAACTTTTGTCCAGAAGCTGTGAAACACGTGGCACTTTATACTTTAAGCTACATTGCATGGGTCTATTATTTATCACAATGCCTTATGTATTTTCTGTTGAAACATTTCAGACCACAGACACACAGACACACACATACACACTGAGCTGTGAACTACAACTGTTTGAACTAATAGTTAACTTAATAAAGAGAAAAATAAATTCATGCATGTGACGTTAACATTAAATGACTCACTATTTAACGTACCTTAATAAATATATTTGATTATCATACTTGATTAAATGTAGTTATTTTCTAAGGTAGCGCTTTGTATTTCACCTAAAGCTTAGAGAGTACAAAAGAAATACAAAAAACCTCTGTATGAACCAGGTATCAAACACTCACCTCCAGTAGGCTTGACAGGTGGCTCTGAAAACATTTTAGCAAATTAAAAATGGTGTTTTTGCTAAAAAATATAGCTGTAAATTTAGATTAGTTAGACATCAAAGTCACACAGCTACCACTAACATTAGCTAAGCATCCATGTCTCTGAAAAACAACTCCTTGCTCAATTTGTAAAGGAAAAAAAAGTTAGATTTCTGTTACATGTGTCTATTCTAGAGTTATTTTTCATTATTATACACCTACAAAAATATTAAAATATGTTAGCCAACACTGCAACATTCTAAAGTAAACAAATAAACAAATAAATAAATAAAACATATCTAACTACATTAAAACATATAGCTACGTCTCAATTGTCCCTCTGCTATGGTCAGTATGTAGAAAATACTCCAGAATTTGGCAGAAATGTGGCTTAATTCACAGCTCATTGTGGGACAGCTTGCCTGTTTCAGCACACTGTGTATGTAACAATTCAATTTTAGTGTTTGAATAATACATACAAGTGGATAAAGGAGAAATAAAGCTGAAACAGTGGTTAAAACTGTTTGTATGGACTCTTTTATACTGTTTTGTTTCGCCACAAAGGTGAGATTTATGGTTCATCTTGAGCATTTCGGAACAGACTTAGAGGATGAAGGTAGGTTTTGTAAATGTCTGGTTTAAGAGCAGCTTACCTGAGCTGTTACAGTGCATGAATCATGAATAATAGCTGCATTTTTGTAAATTATTATTATTATTATTATTAGTAGTAGTAGTATTATTATTATTAGTATAGTATTATTAGTATTATTATTAGTAGTAGTAGTAGTAGTAGTAGTAGTAGTAGCTCTTTTTGTTGTTGTTAACATCCTGTACTGAGCTCATTATGATTATTATAAATATAATGACAATTAGTTTATCGCTGCTTTTAGGCCTAAAACCGATATTAACTATTGAAATCCTGAAAAATTGGGGACAAAACTCCCTTCCACTCATAAACCTTTGCATATACAAATGCCTCAACGAAATCGGTTGAGAAATGTAAACATATTGTGCATTTTTATCCAGAAAACCCGCAGCTCCCCGGTTTACTTCTACGTGTTTACAGACCCGTCCTGCCCGGTCCAACATGGCAGCCACGTTGACGTGCGATCCGGTCCACGAGCTGCTGCCAGGTTTACACTCTCCTGTACTTAACACCTCGTCAGAGCCCAGAGCTCAGTGTGATGCATGGACACACACACACACACACACACACACACACACACACACACACACACATACACACATCATGCCTCACATCACATGTTATTAGTTCTCGTGTAGTTTTACAGTTTTCGCCTCCTTTAACGTGGAACTTTATCCATTTTTCTGCCGGTGCTGGTGTGGGGTCAGATTGAGCAGCAGCATTAATGGAGCACATGTCCTCCCCGGTCAGGTTCCGCAGCAGTAAGAGAGGTAGGTCTACAACACTGAACACCTGTGTTTATACACAACTATTGTTAGGGGGGTTATTTATTGTTAGGTCACTGTAGTCGCCATTTATATTCATATTAATTCATTAATTTGTGTATTTTACATTTATTCTTGTTTTCATGGTGATCTTCTTGCAAATGATTTAATATATTTTTGTTGTTATAGTCCATTTTTGGTCAGTGTTTTCTCTACTAGACTTAGAGGGTATAGTAACGCTTTACTTGTTTATAGTGCAAGGACCAATAATACCATATAGTATTATAATATAATAGTACCAAAGTTTTCTGTTCTCATCATCCAGCTTATACAACAAGTCTTTCTACATTTGTGTTTTCTGTATTACAAAATATACATTATCCTTGCATTTATATGTGCTTTCCTGTCTGCTCCGAAAAAAGCTGCAACTTTCTCAGAAAAGGAGGTAGGACAAGTTTGTAGACGAGTCTTTAATGATAGCGTTTAGATCTTGTGTGTGTGTGTGTGTTTGTGTTTAAGAGTTAAATCTCCAAACCCCTCCACCCCCTTACCCTGTCAGAGCATTAGAAGCTGGGTTAAGCCTGCTGCAAAGCTTTGTGGGTAATGAGAGCTGACAGGTAGAGGGACGCCAGATGAACCCAGATCAGGCCAGCAGCACTGTGGGCTGTGTTGTCCTGCTGTCTTCAGACCAGGTCAACGGGACAATGTGAGACTGGAGAAAATGTGTATCCTCCTCCAAAGCAGATGTAGAGGCTCGCCTGTCCTAGCTGCTCATGGTAGAGTCAATCTGTGGGGGAATTACCTGTGAGGTGACCAAAGCCACTAGTTATTTGTACATAAACTGAACACTGAAAGAGAGCTCCTTATAAAACAAAGTATATAGTTAGTGTATCCAGTTTGACCCTAGTGTTTACTAACCTCCGACTCCAGTCTGTCTGTTGTCTGTCTCCCCACCCTGCCTGGACAGATGGATGAAGGCCTCAGCATTAATGAGATCACAGTTCAGG